CGCCATCAATCCCATACCAAAGGTATCTTCACAAAAACCATTACTATGAATACAAATACCCATACAGGAAGGGGTCGACATCCCCTAGAATTACTATTAGTATTATCTATAAACATTTTAACGTACACGGTTAACCCGCGGAGACCCGAGTTCGATTCCCCGGTGAAAAGCGATTGTAGGGTGCGGTTGTAGGGGCGATTTTTTGCAATTCTCTTAGGGCGCACAGATTGGGGCGGTCTGTCTCAGTTCATTATGGATGTTAAGTTGTTGTCGGTGATTTGGATTGAAGTGGGTTTTTTGGTGTTGAAAATGTGGATAGTTTTTGCGATGTATGCTTTGAATTTAAATCAATATATTAATTTTAGAGAAATAACTAAAATGAAGATATATCTAGTGTCTTATGCCTCAGTATAAAATATCTCTATCATTTCAGTTACACTCGTGGTTTTAAATATTTTAGGACATCTCAGAGACGAATTTTATAGGGTTTGAGAGGAATATACAAATATAACCTGAACAATTCATCAGCAGATAAATTATATCGGTACTCATTATCGGACCAAATACAGTCCCCCGAGGGACGCCTGTTAAAGTACCGAATATGTCACAGAGCGCAGTGTAAGTGAGAGTAACAGTGTGTGACAAAGGGCTGTGGGGACCATTGTGCTTGTTTTAAATACCGTATTGTAATCGAAAATAATTGCAGGATCAATTTCTAGAAGTATATTTATGTTTGTTTAGATCATTGGCCTTAATTTAGTAGCCTTAAAGTAGTCATAGTAATGAATGAAAATGTCAGATATTTTTTTACTGTCCATTTTGTCAGAGTTTTTTTATTACAGGAAAATTATGTTTCTACTACTTATTATAACTTTGTGTACATTGTTTAGAACATATAAGTTTACAAAGTAACCTATATACTAAAAAATAAACATGCGTCGTCCTTCGACACTTTAACCAAAACTGAACTTAAATGTGTCTCCAATTACAAGAGTATTGCGTGTAAACGAAAACGAGAACGTTCATACGCCACATAATACGTACGAAGCCTCCGAAATGCCTCACAGTAGCGTTTCGGCGGTGTCAAGTTCCCGGGCTAATTCTGACAGCTACAAGTTTGGTAGTTTATAAATTATTTTCAAGTTAACGAGACTTAAATTGTGTTTATGTTGGCAGTTATTTCTAGTCGTAGGCATTTTGGTAGCAGTTAACGTATCACGTGAATTATTTTGGTACTATTCAAAGAACTTTTTTCAAGGAAATATTTTTTGTTATATTGTCAAAACTTCAGTCCAACAACTATTTATTCAAACGATGAGCTTTTGTTCTGAATAAAAATTCGGTATCGCAACGTTCGATCTAGTTTCAACAAATCGACAGAATCAGCCGCCTCGGCGCGCTCCGCTCGATCGAACTCATGAATTCTAAATTTAAATTAGATGTCTCCAAATCGTATTTAACGGTCCTTGAGCGCAACTGTTGATTGCCGATGTTTGCCGCTTTCGTGTTCTGCGGTTTGGAGCCATTGTTTTCGTTCTTTTTTTCAATTATTTTCGTATTGATTTTGATAAAAAAATAGGGTCAGGAATGAAATCTTGTGTATTCTATTAGGGTTTTAGTAAAGAAGATAATGTCTATACTTGAAAGCAAATTTTAGGTCCCTTTTTGTGTTGTTTCAAACTGTTTACTGGTTCATATTAATGAAATAATTCAAAACTCTGTCCGTTTTGCTTGTATACTATGTACATAAAGTGATTCCCTTTCCCCTCTATAAAATACCCTTACATTACCATAAATATCAGTGGACTTAAAACCGTCAATTTCTATGCCATCATAAGCAGTTGACGTTAATCCGCGAGACAAGGGCAGCGATACAACTCGCTGCAGATCCTTACAGCATAACCACAAGTGTGAAAGAGATATCGAATATTCTGTGCATTCACGCGTAAACGTGGAATTATTGTATAGCGCCCTGGGAGAAAAGCGGCCTAAGTATGCGGCGCTCTTTTGAGAATTTGTTTTCAGCAATTGAGTAATTTTCATAAGTAATGAATACCTACGTACACCTATTGCTTTAAGTTGTTTCGTTTGATGTCTTACGTAAGTAAGGCTTTAGCCTTAAACAAAAGTTTCTTAAAGTTTTTTATGAACTTTTTCCCAAAACTCACCTCAGAAATAGAACTGTTATATTATCTATATCTATATTAATTTGATTATATGCTTTCAATTACATATCAAACCTTTCAGTACTCATATTTAAGACTCTTAACTCTACTCTCGGAGTACAGTGGCGTGCCGATAAAATAGCACCTGATATGCAAAACCTCGATATTCGACTAAGAATATTCTCAGTAAGCGGTGCCGCGGTGCCGCGGTGCCGACGTCACATAAGCCTCTCTGACACTTGTACACTTACACCGTTCTGCCGCCGAGCCATAATCGATTGTTCCACGTATTTTTGTCCGCTTTTAGTTGGTAAGAAACATCACGCCCATTCGACCGTTATGACTAGGCAGCGGAACGCACGACATATATCTGTCCCACTCTAACACGTGTGTGGACCTATTGGCTTGTCCCTTTCACCTATTTGCCCAGTGGGCCGAGTGCGTAGGTACGACAGTCATAAAAATAGCCCCTTTGGCGCCGAATCTTCTAGGGGTATTCGGTATTTCGATTTTGTGTCCTCTTGTTACGTAGGGTGGATAATGTAGGTATTTTTATGATTAGTTATAGGTACGGCTTTATGTAGCAGACAGTCTGATATACTTGGGATTCACAGTGGAATTTCTTAGCTTTATAAATAACAAGTTTCTTACCGTCCGACTGTGACGTAGCGAATGTGGATTTATTATGGTTCGTACTGTTTGAAATCTTGTTTAGATGTACAGTTGTTTATTTTAAATACAAAAATTGTTCTAATGTCAACTGTTTCTAATGGATAATTTTGCACCTTTTATATCAATAGGATGATAAATCCCCTGTAGATAATGTAATACATCCACAAAACCAACATTTTCGATTGTCAACGCTCGAGGGTACAGAAAGTTTTTTCTTTGCCATTGTGTCACCAAGTGTTTACTTTGTGCCATGGATCGTGATCACAAAACATTATCTATATTTTCGATTGTGACATTATTAACAGAAAAATTAGTTTGATGCTATCGACAACCACGCCTGATTTTTTTTTTCAAGTTCCTTTTCCAAAACTTTTTTATATTTGCGTGCAAAAACTTTCATAGTTACATATTTGTTGCAGAAATTGGCGGCTTTTTGTATATTTCTTTAATACTTTTATACATTAAACATAAGTTTAGTCTACTAATAGTTTTATCATTAGCTGGTTCCCTATCGTAAGTTTAACGTGTAGATCCTTAAAAATTACAAAATTTTCACTTTGTTATTTTTTACCATGATTGGCCGGGCAGATGTTGCACCCGTCAGGTTCGGTTACCGAGCATGTCACTTCACCAATGGCTTTATTTTATATCTTGTACGTGATATTTTTCGCAGAGAATCGAGGTTTTTTATTCCTCTCATTAATTGCTGGGTTGGATGTTGCCGTGTCTCGTTACTCAACATGGATTTTATAATGTTTTTGTAATTGCAACTCCGTGGTGTCACATTTTTCATTTTAGGTTGCTAGAAATCTTGGCCAGATTTAAATTGCACGCATTTTCTTTGTTTGTTTGTTCTTGTTACCTACGGCTCAAGGTGTGGTTGGTAATTCAGCAATTATTAGGTATATTAATATTTTTTGTAAACTTTAGAGGTAGGAAGGCAATTGTTATTGCAGGATTAATAGTCTATCTTTTACAATTCTTTACATTTCTTTGAGCACTCAATATTATCAGAACACAATTCAGCATTCAATTTGTTATTGACATAAAAGTTGACACAACTAATAGCGAAAATGAAATAGAAGAAGAATTTATGAACTCTCCGCATAATAGGAGTATTTGTATGGGTCCATACAAAAACCTAATAAAACGGCATCAAACATACCGAAGTAAAATTTTATAAGCCATCATCAATAACAGGACGGACCGTTCGGGAACACGGGGCATCTTGAAAAGATTTCGGACAATGGACCCGCGTCCGTCCGAAACATATGGTCCTAAAATGTAAAATTGCGAAATTGGATTAAAAGGAGAATTGTTGTCACCGAACTTTGTCCAGATTATTTTGATGGGCTACACAATGGGTACTTGAGCATATGTTTTTGAATTTTAATAAGATAGATCGAATTGCCAATAATATTTTGACGTTGTTGTAAGTTGTTCGCGTGGGACGATATAACATTTTGATTGACGTGTCAAATTATCTGTTTTGAATGCAATCTATCATTCATTGTTATTAATATTATTTTGATGGTCTGGATAATTGTCTAATTTTATTGCATTGACAGGCAAAGGTTTCAATTGTATCAAAATAAGCTTAAAGTAGCTTGAATCTAGATAGAAGCGACTAGCGGTTTCATTAAAATAACAAACAATAAGATCGTCTGTTTTATGATAACCAACAAGCTAGGTACAGAAGTTTATTTAATAAAAATTCTTTAAAAAAAGCTTTTGTGGGTTTGTGTGCATTACGCCCACGGACAAATAGAACTCCCTATTAATATAAATAATATTATTTTAGACACCTCTTCGAAATAATAATAAAATGTCGATTGATTTCTAAGGACAGCCATTGTTGTTCTCTTAGCAATTATTTATAGAATTAACTTGTTTCTAAATAAGAATTAATTAATAACAGGTTTCAATAACACTATTGAGAAAGATAATGTTATAACTGAAGTAAAATTTCTTGACAATGCAGATTAGACAAAAGCAGATAAAAATAATAAGGATGAATTTCTTAAAATTGTCCATCATGATGCGCTTATTTAAATTCTTGATTTAGATTTTATTCAAATGGAAACCTTTGATTCTAGTACTGTAACTAGATTAATAGAAGAATAGACGTTTATGAATGAAGATAAATAAATAAAAGGTACTCACACTAGGAATGTTGTCATTATTGCACACATTTTCGCTCAGCAGACGATCCCGGATCTCCCACGCGAAGATTGACGGACACTCCCTCTTGTAGTCGGCTATCTTCTGGACCACGGGTGTCGTGGCCACTCTCGGTTTAGAGCCGCCAATCGCTCGGGGCTTTATTGACCCCGTCTCGTAATATCTGCGTGCAAAGCTGAATTTAGTTTGGAAAATGAAAAGGATAAATGAGCTATTTGTTTTTTGCTCAATGTCTATTTTTGTTTGTTAGTTTCGTTTCGTGTGTTTGGTCTAGTCTGTGATGGTTAGTTGGCTGGTTTGTTAGTATGGCGCTGTTGTGGTAAAATTTCAATTTGTTACCTTGATATAGTGTTTGAAATTTTCAAGTTTATATTATTGTCAACGTGAACTAATCTTTTAAGTTCAGTTAAAAATAAATGTTTATTGAAGCTGCTGCAAACAAATAAGCGATCATGCATGTGGTGCCACCAAAATTTGATGTTTACCTACATTTTTCTATTTTGTCAATAACTTACAAGATTGATTTTTAAGGATTGTTTGTTAAAGCAACGACATTTATCTAATCCCTTCCGTAAAGAGCTACCAAACCTACAATTACAATTATTACTACAAATTATCTAAACATCCCTATTCAACTAAAATACTATTAAACCGCTATTACAAACATAATCTCTACCTTCCCCTTAACTTCAAGTACCTATACAAAACGTTGCCAAATTCTGTTTGATTGTCCTCCCTTAAAACCGTTATAAATTATACCTTCAGTTGATGGTGGTAAGTTTTTTAATTCCTTGTCTTGTTTCGAGTTTGGGACTTGGATATCGGATGTACTTGAAACATGTATTGTTGTGAGATAGACATGTGTCGATATTTTGGATCTTGATTCCAATGTGCTAGCGTATAGATGGCAGATGGAGGTCGGATTGTCGAGTTCAATGTTAATAACCTTTGTTGTGGATCTAAAGTTTTAAAATTTACTAAGTGCGAAACCGATGATGGAGTAAATGCAATAGGTTATCATATAGTACATAAAGCATGGATTAAAGTGACGCAAAAAAACTTATTAAACAATGATGCAAAGACTGACCAAGAAACAAAGTCAAAGTCAAAGTCAAAATCATTTATTCCAACTAAACCATAAATAGGTACTTTTGAAACGTCAAAATAGAGAAGTAGTCTGTCAGTCTGTTCGTCAGTGAAGCTAGATGCTCATTCCAAATTGTAGATTCGAATGGAGAAGAACGAGCAAGAAACTCCATAAAAACTAAAATAAAAGACATGCAGCAAAAGAAGAAAGACACATCCATATCAACAACCGATGAAAAAGCATTAAATAGATATATTTAACTCAAACATTGAGCGACAATGTGATAGCCTTTAACAAAAGTCTTGAAGGCAGTTTAAGTTTTATAGAGTCTAAAATTTCAACGGTTACAGAAAAACTTTCGTATAACCACTAAAATCAAACAAAACATTTAGAAAACCGTTATAGAATAATAACCGGAGCCCAAATAGCAACAAATAACAAACACGGCGATTATCGAAATTGTCATCAATGATATATTTATTTAGGCTTTCTCGATAAGCATTTACCACGTTTTTGGTCCCCATCGAATCGTAATCGTTTTCGCCTTGGGCGATTTTCGCAAAGGGCGTTTTTCGAGGGAGCTCACTGCTTTTTAATTGAGAACTTTAAGTTCGACGAACTTTGATTATGTGTTGTGCTTTTGGTAAACAGTGGTGAAACGAGGGTTTTATTAGTGAGGTAAATAATTGGGAGATTTATGAAAGTGAAAGGTTTGAAGATCATTTAGAATTTAGATAACAATTTAATGAGAGCAGAGAAATTGTAGATGGAAAGAAAAGGAATAATGCAAATGGTGTATATGGAATAAGTACCATTGAATCTATTGAAACATTTTGAGGCTTTCGTACGTAATCACAATTAGAATAGCGCACAGTAAACAAAATGTACCAAAACTACACAGTTGTAATTACTCGTAATATATCTGTAATAAAACGTCCATAATTAAATATACATTATGGGAAAGCAAACTTTGATCAAGTAACTAAATTGTTGGCCACAAACGCAACAGAAATTGCAAACAAATTGTCGCCAAACCGAGCAATTACTGCATCAAACAATAATAAATTGATCGAAATCAGTGCCGTTCATCCCACAACGTTGCGGCCACTCGACCAATGTAAATTCATTGTATTGACTCCATTGCCTGTTCCTCAGAACGATACCAACATTTCCATCCATTTTGAGTATTCAATGGATACGTGAATGCAAACATTGATGTACTTCATCAGGGGTTTGAAGATTAGAGTGCAGATAGGCTCGGGGGCAACGTATAAGTACTTATCTGAGATTGTTTTTGAAGTGGTTATTTAAAAGTAACTGAATTACGTGCGCCCTATTGAAACTACGTCACGGGGAGCTCTCACTAAAATTGCATTGCATTTTTATAATGCATGAAAAGCTGTTAAATCGTTTATTATTGATTCCATTTCAAACTTCAGCGACTTCAATTCTTTTGTTTCGCTATCTTGATTTTGGTCTTTAATTAGCAACAAATAAGGTTTATCCTTGATCTAGAAGTTTCCCTAGATACAGGGAATTGTTGTTAAAAGTGAGTGAACAGCGGGACCTCTTCTTAATTAGGAGTCCCGCTACGCTTGCCCTTCTGTGCGAGCCCTAAGGAACACTTTTCAACCCCTTTCCATAGTAATTGGCACGATAAGAATGTCCAGGGGTGTGTGAGAACGATATAGGCACTTGCAGCCGGCTTAGTACTACAGGAAAATGTATAAATATTTTTGTATTTTATTTTGATAACAAGGAAACTAGATTTTGCTTAAGACTTGAAAAGTGCAATTATAAAACTTATAAACTTACGTCTATTCCAGATTTGCTCCCGTAGTTACAATTTACTTTTTACATGTTTTTTAATAAACTTGTTTTTCAAATTGTAAGTAATATTTATTATGTAATCTACATGTTCTAATAAGCACTGAATTATAGATACTGCATTATTATTGTGTATGTTATGTAGGGTTAGTGTGCTCTAAATTATTCCATTATCAATCCAATGCTGGGCGTAGACCTCTCCAATGACACGCCATTGTCTTGTTTTCCACTGCTGTAGGCAACCAATTACTTATCGCATCATCACCAGTCAATAACTCGATCAAAGTATAATACAATTTGTTTTCATAATGTTTTTTAATATAATTAATCATAATGAATATCATAATAGTCAATTACATAATTCAATTGCGCGTTATATATGTTACTAATAACTAATCAACAATAAGATAAAAATGAAAATATTAATAAACATCAGCAGCTAAAAAAAAACAAAACTTGATGATTTGAAATAAAATTATCACGATGACTTGTGAAATATATATCAGATATTTATTGAAAATAATATCAAACGTAGACTAGTGTTCTGACAAAACTTGTAAATTAAATTTTAACCATTATTTAAACCTAGTCTTCATTCCTAAACATATGAAGAAATAGAAATAAGGAAAGCTTTTTTGAACTGATGCTCTTACATATAAACTGCTAAATAATAGAAAATAGGAATTAATAAAAATATTAATATACAGTAAGAAGATTTCTTACTAAAATTTACAAGTAAAGATCCTTGAGAATCTTCACAATCAAAATATTTACTTCAGTAAAAAACCATTATCAATGACATAACACGACCCAGTTATGCTCTTCGCCTTATCACTAGCCAAATACACTATAATGTCCCCAATCTCCTCAGTATCTGAAGAACGTCCCAAAGGTGTATGCGTACCAGCTTCTTCTAATGCATCAGCTGGAAAACCTGATCCAATGACGATATCAGTTATAACTGGTCCAGGATTTACCGAGTTAACTCTTACTCCTGAAGGTGCTAATTCCAATGCAGCAAATCTTGTGAAATGGTCCAATCCAGCCTTGGACACACTATAAGACATGAGGCCAGGTACATTGGATGCAGTTGATGCCACACTTGATACATTTACTATATTGCCTTTACTTGCTATAAGGAAAGGAATAGCTAAACTTGTGATATGTACAACAGGCCGTAGATTAGTATTCATGGTTTCGTCGTAATTAGCCAAAATGTCCGGTTCCAACAAACTCTTTGATCGTAATATACCAGCGTTGTTAACTAGTACGTCCAATTTGCCGAATTCGTCAATAGTTCTTTGGACTATTGTTTTTGCTTCTTCTTCTTTGGATATATCTGCTTTGATTGCTAGTGATTTCGCTCCAAGTTGATCGCAGCGGTTCGATACATCTTTTAGTTTGGCTTCGTTTCTTCCGACGAAGGCAACAGAAGCTCCAGCTTTGGCAAATAATTCAACAGCAGCCGCGCCAATACCGGAGCTACCACCCGTAACGAGCACTACTTTGTTTGCAAACATGTTCAATACGTTCTCAACGACACTCTGTATATTAATTACTCTAATGCTATTCAAAGCGACGTTTTATACTGTTTTTATAGATAACATTATCTTTTACGTTCTAAATATACCAGACTGTGATTTTCATTCTTGACCTCGTGGGTCGCAGTCACTAGATTCTTATCACAATCATTTATATTAAGAATTTTGTATGTAATCAACAAGATGCTATATCGATAGATACAGATATTAAGGTGATAATAGCTGCTTCCACGTCCACTAAACGTGAATAAAAAACAAAGTCGACAAAAAAAACGATGGAAAATATTTTTCCCACAAAAACAACTTGTTTCGCCAATATATTAACAAGCAAAACATTACAAAATAATAGCATGTGCCCACAGGGCAATACTATAGGGTTCGCTGAGCCAAATTTATTTTTCCTATAAGATCTCTTGAAGTGGCGTCAAGCCGTCTCCCTCAGTAGGGGTGCCAATTACTAGAAAATAATGTTTTTATTTTGATTTTTATTTAGGGGCGGTCGTGGGACAGCCCTGTAAGGCACACCCTATATTAAAATGAGTCTAGTTCTTTGATTGACGTCTGCGTTTTTTATTGTTCGATTGACTTTTGACTTTTTTGGTTCCCATTGAATGAATGTGTTATTCAAGTTAAATGCTTAGTGTGACACACGTTTAACGACTTTTCTTTGTATGTGAGTTAAAAGTTTATGGCAATTTGTAAAAATCGAATGTTTTCATATAAATACCTACTATCAGTGAGTATACGTACATCTGTAATGGATTTGCGTGGATTACCAAAATGAGTTATTTAAAAACCATTACGAAAACAATTCCATTACGATTAACACGAATACTTCACTGCCGGCATTTCAATAAGCACTCGACCGGAGGGCCGAAATCCTCCGTGATCTCCAGATAAAATCGCAATCAAACAATAAAATTGCCGTCGAAATTAGAGCCGGCACCCCAACGGCAGGCACCCGATGTCGATTCCCACCTAGCACCCCGCGGCGCACACGTCAACTATTCAACAAAAACAATACACTATGGGAATGCAAACTCAAACTATTGTATTGATTAAGTCATTGAAATATTCCTTAATTTTGTCCACGACAGCTTTGTCGACACCATTGTGCGGTTCCTTGGGCGGTATTATGGGAATTCCATCAATTTGCTAACGCGTGGCGAAAGAATTTGACCCCATCGCACTTAGACATAATCGATTCTTTAACTTTTGTTGACTCACAATAGGTTTTGTGTTAAATAATTCGCTTATTCGTGTAATAGTATTCGTTTTAATTGTTATGGGTGCTTGTACTTCAGTTACACGATCGCTGAATGAAGTTGACAATGAATTAGGTTTTTCTTTTGTATTGTAAGTGAACCTTGAGAAAATGAGAACTTCAAGTAATATGTTCTTATCGTAAAACATTCCTAAATGAAAAGTGTCATTTGGTGGGTTGTAAGTAATTCAGTAGTGTCAGACTTTATGATAGATGATGCTCTTTGTGTAGCGGTAATTTTCTATCTCAGGGTGAGTTCTGTAGACCTTGAAATTTATATAAAGGCCCTATTATAACGAGTTGCCGAAGAGCGATTATGAAGGTTTAAGATTTTGGGTAAATATATTTTTGAAAATTTGGAATAATACTGATAAAAGGTATTAAGGGCTTAAATTATCGTTTTAAAAGAAATTTCATCCATGGCTCTTGATCTGAAGATTTACGTTAAGCTCTTGGAATGATTTATTCTATCTACATGAACAATGACATAAGGAGTACATACCAATACCTACTTGTAGCTACCAACAACTTAACCACAGCACTATACCATAACAAGAGGCAATTAAAACCAACAGACCTGCCGAGTATCTTGGAGACGCAGCCGTTGGAGACCTGCAGGATGCGGCTGATGTCGCAGGGCCGCGCGCCCGAGTGCGCCAGCTCAACGATCTTCTGGCGCGTGGAGTCTGGCAGAGGCCTGCCATTGACGTACACACCGCCAAGTTGGTTAATGCCACTATGACCGGCTGAGGAGCACCCAAATAGGGCTCCGCCCCCCATTGCCGCGCTATGCATCAGCTCATCTGCAATAGAAGGTATTATTTAGCTTGTGATTCATAACAAGCACGATAGGCGAGCTATGTTGACGAATACTCTGACATGTCTTATTTCATCTTTTCTTTACAAATTCAAGTTTTGTCAATGGATATAGCCAATATTCCGCCTAATTCTTAGATGAAAAGGATCTTTTAATCGATTTGGACAATGAAACTTCACATCTGCACCTCTTCAATATTTGATGCTTCCTCAATATTTACTTGAGTGCTATCCTTGTGTATAGAATCATCCTTTTATAACTACTAGATAATATCTACGTTACCCATAGCCTGTTCTGTGGCCATCTTTCTTACCCGACAGTAAAAAACATTAACCCGTTTTAAAAAAATAATCCGCTTTGCGAAAAGTATCTTTAATAAAAAAGGGTTTCGCGGTGTACGATAGAAAACCACAATTTTTATCTAATCTTCGGAGATACGATGATATTTTTAGCTTCATTGTTTAGGTGGACCGTTATTGTCGTTTTTTACTTAAGGCTTTTTGTACCGTTTTTCTATAATGCATTCAAACGTTGCGAAACTGCCTTAGTACTCTTTTTGTAACATTTTTATAACCAGCCGTGTCAATTACCACATTTACTCCGAAAAATTAAATATCACTTATTTATTTGTTGTTACTGTGGCTTGTCCGAAAACATAAACCTATAATGAGCTCCCATTTTAAAGAGGCAGTCTAAATGCTTTAATGTCTCAAAACTTTTTTTTACAAATTGTACAATTTATTGTATTTATTCCAATTTGTAAGCAGTGCATCCTATAATCGGGCATCAAATTAGACGGTTGGTCCGTCCACAATTATAACCACGCTGTTTACAAGCCAATAGTCTTCAATAGGAGTGCATTAGATCGGATGAGCCCAACCGTTGGTCTGACAATTCTTTTTATCCACCCCTCACAAACACCCAGTAAAAAGTGAACAATTGGATGCAATTTGTGGGCGAATTTGGGCCAGGCCCTTGATTAAGGCCCTAAAGGGTGGGGGTCTAAGTTCATTGTTTTGTCCCGTCATTTTTTTTCCTGCGGTTCGTCTCGTCTCCTGTATAATTTTCGTAGTTCGTGCATCGAATCCGCGAGCGATCGTCTTTTGTTTCTTTTAATCCTTTTATTTAGATTTTAATACTATTAGGTAGTCGGTATCTTTTTATTGTACCTACTTTGATTAAAGTTTCTAGGTGCAGCATGCATATAAATAAGGGATAAAAATTTTAGAGGCATACTGCTCAGAGAGACTATATAGCTAGATGTTGTACTTGTACAATGAATATCTTCTCTACAAACACATAGACGCGTAAACTCCACACCACAGCCAAAAAGTAAATTAAAAATACATCCAAGCCTAGCTTTTTCCGAACAAATTAATAACCACAGGTCCTTCGCCAATTAAGTGTGCCTCTCGAGTGGCAAGTTGTCGCGTCGCCGTTGTTAATCGTGCCTGGAGCTCACCTTGCCGCGGCGTGCTAACAAGCGCACGTTAAAAGAACAATGGACAATCGTACGCCCACCCCACGCCCGGCTTAGGACAAATTACAGGAGATAGCGGGAGCGTTTTGTGACAATTTGTAAGTTGATTGACCTTCTGTTGTAAAAGTTTTTTAAGAATGAAAATTAGTTTTGGTGATATTTGTTACTGTCATGAGTTAGCAGTAAACGTAAAATATTTTTCTGTCTTGTCTTGACAGATGTATTTTTTGAACGTAGAACATACGTTCAAAAATAGTTTTTAATTTCTAACTGACTTTTTATAAGTATGATTAATTGAATACTTATACATAAGAATAAATTAAATTTAAACCTTGAGTTATACGCTTAGGAAAACGTTTACTGCAACTAACCTAAAATACAGTAAGTATCATTTTTTTTAAGTTTTTTTAATGTGATCGGTAATATTTGTCTTTATACTTAATGACTTTGGAAAATTATATATGTGCAGCTAACTGGTAATCAATCAGTTAGCCATTTGATTACAATACAATTTTAATAGCTGTTTATTTGCAATGGCGATTAGATCTCTGTGTAGCATACTTCTAACCTCAACTTACCTACCGCTATTGTAGCAATTTCTAGGTAGGTTATCATGGAGATCACTACCACTTAAAAGTTGAATAGAGAAATTTGGTTACTCAAAATTATATTAGCGTCTAAGTATATTTTTTGCACGCCAGTCATGGTGAAACATGTTGAAACAAAATATCCCCTCCATCTGTAATCATCACAACCATGTGTTATTACCACCTACACAAGTTATCTTTATCTTTATCTAGCCATTGGATGGATAGATATTCCAGGATTTGGCTTCGACATATAATTTGAATGTCAATAATTTAGACTATAACAAGCGTTCTAATAAAATCGCTATCGCTTCAGCTCATATTAAGGTCTATTGTCACACCCACTGTCGGCGCAAGTACGCATGTCGTGTGAGGGAGTGTTTTAATTTCAGAGGTGCAATTTATTCGAGCGATTTATTTTTAATCCCCGTTTTTATGGGTGCGACGCTATAAATTTCATTTATAGTTGTTGTTATTTATTTTTTTAGTTTTTCATGCGTCTGTGTGTGTGTCGAGTGGTAGTACCTACATAGGTGTCCGTTGTGTGTGTGCGTAGTTTTATTGCGGATAATTCTGGTTGTGACTTTTAATGGATGTGTGTGATGGTGACCAGGAATTTTCTGGGCGTGTTTAATTTTTCACAATTGGATATTTTTAACAGATCATTATTCGTTACTTTACTGATATAAAATGGTTGCAGCTATAAGAAGGTGAATAAAAAATCTTATCCGCAAAAAATATTACTCCGTTGAAAATATGTCACTACCATTTGCATTAAAAATCTGTTGTAGAATAATAATTTCATCATGGCAACCCCTAAATATGTACTTAACGTAGCACGAAAACTGTCGTTAAATAGATAAAACGTCAAATTAAACATTAATCAAACATTACATACAAGCAGACAGTACATAAGGGTGGCAACCCTGTCGAGAGCACACCTGGTGGCATCCCCCACCTAAATACCCTTCTTATTATTATTTTGTATCTGTTTTTGAATTGCTTAAATCTATGGGGGAGATTTAATTGTACGCTAAACGCATAGTCGCCATATTGGATGCGCCGAAGCTTGTCAAACGATTTGAATTCAGAACGGATCGCATAAATTTCTGTTACCATATAGTATTTACTTTGTGTTAAACCTGTTTGGTATGGAGACTGCGGGCTAGGATTAAAAAGAACGAATTAAAATCAATTAGAAATGTACATGTCTTATTTATGTTACAGACGCCAGAAATAATTTTATTATCTATTTGAAAATGTTAAATAGATTTAAAGACACAACACAAGACATAAATTTGTTAATCCTGATAATATAAATTCCAACTAGGTTTTGCATGATTTTTTTATAAATGTTGCAAACGAGTCACAAGGATAGTAGCGTCAATCGTAAAATTCAATGACGTTTGAAGTAAAAAAATGCCATTTTGTTCCCGTCTGACGTTTTGTTTCGCTTTGACATAATTTATGGCGAATATTATCAACCACGCCCCTTTTTGGATGCGTGACAAAAAACCGTCATTGATAAACAGGCTTCTACGGAGAGATGAACGGTTATAGATTAAAAAAAAAGAAACATAAAGTGCATATAAGTATATTTTGGAGTGCCAGATATTTTATTTTACTTTTTTAAATGTAACGATTTAAGAAGCTACCATTTGAAATTTGAAACGTTTATAAATAAACACTAAGTTTTATGGATGGATGTTTGTAACTCTTTCAAGTAAAAACTAATGAACCGATCCGAATGAAATTTGGCACACAGATAGATTATAGTCTATAATAACACTTAGTTTACTTTATACCCAAGTATTGTTGGTAAAGCTGCTATCAGAAGCTAAACAATAAAATGAACAACCCATGATGCTCAACTGTTCGACCACGGGTCTCTGTTTTCTCTACATCAGAAAGTTTTTCATAACCTCCAAGATGTATTTTTAGGGAAGTAGAATCATCAAATGACTTCTCGCACCCAGGGTATGTTTAGAGAGAATGTCAGACTCTTACTGGCTAAAAATAACCTCTCTAATACTTCTCTTGCTCCAGGCCGAGGCCGCTGTATCCTTGAAACAAGCTCAGCCCCCAAGCTTGGCCAGCTCGCTGGAGATCATTGACAAATATCAGCTATTCGATAGCTTTGTTTCTTCAATACAGCACGTATTAGGCATGTTAATAAAATTGGCATGTCTCAAAATCAGGATCAATATTTACAAAAAACAAATTAACAGTAGTACAATAGGATTTAAATTTTTAAAACTTATCGAACAATAGTATTGAATTATGTGCTACGGAGTAAAAACATCGTTCTTTTTAAATTGTCACTGAAAGTACCGTTAAGTCAAAGATAAAACTACTTTAACTGGTCAGTTATCTCATCTTAACTTTTGTTAAAAGGCTTATGTAACTAGTTTTTAGTTTTTTAAAAAGTTTTACCTATTTAGGTTTATTTTTACCGTTAGGTCTTCTAATTAATTTTTTGGCCTTACGTGTTGGTACCTGGTTGCTTTGGTACTTTTTATGGTAGTTTTGTAGAATATCTTATGGTATAATAGATAATTAAATATTAACAATATATTGTACTTTGAAAATAAAATATTGATAAAAATTAATTTGCTAAAAAGGTAATTTGCTTGCAACATTCATCAATACCCCTTGTAATTAAACATAATAAATTTACTCAAACTAATACACATAACGCTTGCAGGAAACATTCTACCTATTCTAAATTCAAAATTTGAATATTCAAAGCGTTTCATCGGACACAGTCAGCCCGAAGCGGAGTACTCAATCATTAAAATTCCCACAGTGCAGCAACAAAGAAAAGTATATTTATCCCTTTCCAACCACTGTTTTTCCGCTCTATTTGTCTTTATCTGGCGCTTAATGTGACACAATTGTCGCATGCTCCGTTTGCTTGGCGTTGTAGCACTATGGTGAAACATAATTATATTTCTGTTATGCCAAGCCAAGTCACCGTTTTAATGGATTGAGGTACGAGTATATTGTTAGCTCCAATTTACGATTTAGTTTCAAATTGTACCTAAAAATAACTTTGTATCTATTTAATGTTTCTATTTTAAAAGTGTCTATTTTAAAATCGAATTTTCTAAAATAGTTTTTAGACTTAAATTTTACGTTAGCAAAATCTAATTAAATAAAAATAATATTTAAAGACGAAATCATCGTCAGGGCCTGCTTCAATGTCGACATTTGGCGAGAAATTTAGGGCTCGAAGTT